ACAACCAGAAGGGACCTGGGAGGGCTAGCCCCTTTTCATGAGTTGAGAGGGACTTTACCCTGGACAAAGGATTACCTAGAGTATGGTACAGGTATGTCAACAAAAGTATTCCTAGTGATATATTCCAACCCTCATGGGTTTGAATAGCCAAGGGGATAAAGCCTTTGGCTACCTGCAAAGACCCCGGGAAAAATAAGGAATAAGAAAGCCAAAGGGTGAGGAATTCAATACGCTATTTATTAGAGACTTCTAGGTTGTTAATGATATGGTGATCGGGTATGTAGTGTTTGAAACTTGCACGGTCGAAATGAAAGAAATTTCCAGTCATTGTAGTTGGGTCGAAAGTTTCGCCTAAAGGAGAAAGGCAATTAATAGCTTCTAAATCAAACAAAGTGGGTGTTAACATCCCACAAGGAAACTAGAAAGTATTAGTGGTACCTTCCCAAAAGAAAATCTATGCTAAGCTAAGATTAAATTTAGGTTAATCCTATGTGCATTTCTCGGTAGTTGTATGGCATCAAAGATCCCAACATCTTTCCATTGCTTTTGTTTTTTCCCTTGAACTTTTTCTAACCAAGCGAGATAAGCTTTGTTACCTGGAGTTGGAATTGATCGAAACCCCCTAGACCCTATGAATATAGCATCAATTGGTGTTTCATGATCGAAGGTTGAAGGATTTGCATGAGTGAAACAAGGAAAGTATTGTTGAAGCTTCTTTGGGTGATTTCGTTGAGTTGGGAGTGGATCGTGGAATGCAAAGAATTTATATGCAACAACTAACAAAATAAGAATTTATTGTTGCCATATTTTAACTTTGTGTTCATCAGTGGATGGAGGTTGAGGAATCACCACCAAATTTGTTTCTTCAGAAAGAGTGAAAGCCACAAGGTTGTTGCTAATGTTCATCATAGTAATTATGGAAGTGGCCATTACGGTGAAAGGGGGAGAAAAGAGTAAGAACGATGTTTGTTTTGTGATAAAAAGACTAGGGGTTGTTTAAATGGAAATTGCAGAAAAATAGGTACGAGAAAGAATTAAAAAAGACAACAAGCGTGAGGGATTTATTTATAGGCTCATTGAGGTCGTCGATGGTGGACAAGTGGCATCCACTTGTAGAGTAATCATTGTCGCTAAATTTAGAAGTGGAAAAGTTAGTAGGGTTTCTTAAAAGCCCACGCATTGGAAACTAGGAGCCATTATGAGAAATGATGGGATGACATTGGGAATAGTTGCACAGAAAGTGGCAATCATGGCGCATGACGTCATTTGAAAAGACGTGCAGTCAAAAATTCAAAAAAGGTAAAATTCCAGAAGTTCTCAATCGACAAAGTCTCCGTCAAAATTGGCATTTTGGGGGGCAATTGGGTTACAAGCAATTTTCGACTAAGGGATTAGGTCATAAGTTGGATGGTATCCTTCATTAAAGAGGAGTGAATTATTCTACAAGTCACAAGCAGGGGCTGTCGACAAGATTTAAGAAGTAATCCTTAGGAATTTGGTCAAAATAGTGTTGGAAGCGGAAATTAGGTCGACAAAGTCGAGGCCAGTTGAGGATAAGAGCGAGTGGCGGCAAGAGTAGTTGTTAGTTATAGTCATTAGCAGAACGTGGGAAGTTTTTTGTAGTTCCACATGAACTCCCAATGTAAGTTGTTTAAGTAATTATCGACGATTACGTTTTGGCATCTATTTAAGCAAGTTGTTGTATTCTTTTTTAAGGGTCGCATTTTGTAACATTGTAAGAGAGCACTCAAAGTACTCGCATCTAGAGAGAAACAAGTCCATTCTGAGAAATGTACGATTGCGTCCATGTTTAAATTCAAAGTAGTTCATTTCAAGTCTTCTTAATCATTTGCACCATACAATTTATTTATCTGTCTTTCCCTTTTAAATTTTTCTTATTAAGATTTCATACTTTAACCATTTCAAACACCAAAACATTCTAAATTTAACACTAAGTCTAGGACTTTTGTAGCCGGTTCTGCAAGTAACCTTTAAGTAAGAGGCTAGAGATTGTTCACGAGAAACTCCTACAAACAGTAGTGTGATTAGATGTCATGCAAATTTTAATAGTAGTAATTTTTGTTAGAACATAGTTTAGTTCTACATCCCTGTAAGAGTTTTGATGATAACAAACACATGATATATATAAATAACCAATATTCTCTCTAATAATGTTGTTTGATATGCAGAGAAATTCTGATGTAAGAAGCATAGAAGATGAGAAAGTTTCATTTTTGAAGCTCTGTTATGACACATCATACTTAGAAGCAAATCTGTGAGACACGCTTAAATGGATAAGTTCTAATTTTACAACTTTTGAATGCACCAACATTTTGAAAAAACTCTGATATTATGATGAGTAAAGTTCTGGAAAGAACTAAAAGAAGTCTCAACGATAACATTCATCTTCTGATATGATCCCAAGAAAGCATGTTCTGAAGCGTTACAATTTATTCATTGCAAATAAAAAGTAACGGTTGAATAAAGACAAGATCTCTATTTTTGGAAAGAACATTAACTACAGTTGATCAAACATCCAAAAGCATCTTCTCATGTCTCTCATGCATCGCCTATATAAAGAATACTTGAAGAATAAATCACACACAACACTATTGCACACTGAAAAAGAAAAATCTTATTAACTTTCTATCTTGTTCTTTTCAATTGTGTATACTTCACTGTAGTGATATAGTTTTGTCTAGAAGACATCTTTGTACACTGTTAATTAATTTACTATGTAATACCTTAAGAAAACTGAGTTGTGGTTTAAACACAAGAAGATATTGACAGTACTCATTGTACCTGTGTAATCAATATTTGATTAGTGGATTAAGACCTCATTTGAGAGAGGCAAAATCACCTTGGCGGGTTGACTTAAGTATTTTGAGTTCAAACGATCCAGGATAACCAATGTGTCTATTCCTTTAATTTTAAAAACCCCGATCTAAACCCCTTTTCTTGTGTTTTTCCATTCTTCAATTTTTCATTATCATGTATCTTGCTATGTCCTATGTTGTTGTTGCATGTCTATTGTTTCTAATCCATGAAGTTTATGTGTTGATGTTATGATAATATGTGAAAAATTATGTTGTTGTTGATGATCTATTATATGATGATAAAATGAGTTGTACTTTTAGAGATTAATGATGATGAAACATGGTTGCATATAATTTTACGTTTATGCATGACACGTGGTCGGATACGCTGGAAATCTAATTTAATGTTCTCCCATATGGTAAAGTAAAAACCATGATTGTAGACCAAATATGTTTGGTGAATGATGATGAACTATCATGTATTTTATGAACTATACTATGATTTATTTACGTGTGTTGAATGCATAATAATTGAATTAATCCTATAATAATAAGTGAGGCTAAACCTAGTTTTGTAACTAGGTGAATGAATTAGAAAGATAAATTAGGTTATGGTAAATAACTTAGGTTGAAATGATCGAATGTAAGAGGTTTCTCGATGTGCATCCATGAGCGATTAGTTGCTAGAAATGGATTACGAAAAGTGTCGGGTGGCATGGATGGTTAACGATGATCAAATTATGATTTGAACTGGCTTGTATGGAAAATGTTAAGAATGGTGATTGACAAACTAATTACCTACTAATGATGAGAACCAATCATGTATTCGAAAATAACCTCTATTTGTGTCTGTCTCGATTGTGATGCTTATGTAAAGCAAGATTAGGATATACGCACTATTGATTCACATTTATCATAAGTGGGTTCGAGTCCCATAGAGGAAAGATATATCTTAAGTGGGATAGAGTCCTATAGAGGATAGAATTCTCATAAGTGGGTTCGAGTCCTATATGATTGATGGTACTTAAAGTGGGTTCGAGTCCCATGGAGAATCTAAGCTTAATGTGAAATTTGAATCATGATACAAAGATTTGTGACTCGTGTCCATAGTCATAGACATATGATCTTTCAGGGAAAGATGCTTTGGTACATTCCTGAATGGTGATTTATTGAGTTGATGAACTCATGTTTACATTTTTCCATACGAATAGTAAAACCCCTTGAATGCTTAAGTCCTAGTTACATTGTGTGAGTAATATAAAAGTAACGTATAGAGGAAATGCTTAAGTTGAGAAAGAAACAATAATAGTCCTTTAGAGTCGAGCGGACCCATATTATATGGGAACTCAATGAGATTATTATCTCTCCCCACTAGTATTGTTGCTTTCAGGTGGTTCTTTACAAGTTAAAGTCAAGGGAAAGTTTTCATGAAGATGTTTCGAAGACTTGTGTTATCATGACCTTCCTTTGTGGATTATGTACAATGTGGAGATGGTACATAAATCTTAGTTTTTGATTATGCACTCTTGTATATCATGTGTCATAGTTGTATATTTTCTTTTGAACATGTATATATAACGAATGTCGATAGACTCTTATGTTATATCAGTACCAACTTACACTATATATAATCTATTTCTAAAATACATTTTATGTGGGTGTTACAATTAACCCATCAAAATAATGGAGTACTAAGTGGAGATGACACTTTAAAATAAGAGATTTGATATTTTTCCACCTAAATTGACACCAACACCGTATTACAATACAATTTTGTTTTATTATATTTAGAAAATTATTTTTTTTCTTCTATTTTTATACAAATCATCAAATAGATAATTGTGTCATTCATGCGGTGCAGTGTATATACGGTGTTAAATTTATTGATGTTCAAATAGCAATCCAATACTCGAGAATTAATATTTTGACACCTAAATTGACACCAACACCATATAACAATACGGTTTTGTTTCATTATATTTAGAAAACTATAAGTTTTTTTCTCTATTGTAATACAAATCATCCAGCAGCTAATTGTCTCATTCATATTGTGTATACAGGGTGTTAACTTTATTGATGTTTAAATAGAAATTCAATCCATTTAAAATACAAGGCATACACATCTATTCCTTTATTCAAATCTCAAAACCTTCATTCATCACTTCACTCTCTCAAAACCCATTCATGGATTTCTTTCCCTTTCTCCTCTCTTTCATTTTTATCATTCTACATCTCTCAGGTGCACAAACTAACTAACTAACTAAAACGTTTTCTTTTTCTTTCTGTTTTAAATTCATTGTTTCATGTTAACCTTAAATTGTTTGTTTATTCACAGGACAAAGAGTTGTACGAGGTGAGGATGATATTCAACATCATCATCATAAAGAACCTATAACAAAGTTGTTTGTGTTTGGAGATTCATATGTTGACACGGGTAACCTCAACAAAAAAGGTTTTGCTCCTTCATGGAAACAACCTTACGGTGTCACCTTTCCCGGCAAACCCTCCGGTCGTTTCTCCGACGGGAGAGTTCTCACTGACTACATTGGTTTGTCCAATCACTTCAATTTAAATTATTTTTTACTATGAAATGAAATTGAAAAAATGTATGTGATTATTTACATTATGCATGCAATTGCAGCTGAGTATTTGAATGTGAAATTACCAGCATCATATAGTAAAAGAGAATATGTGGCACCACATCAATTGAAAAATGGAATGAGCTTTGCATTTTGTGGTACTGGTGTGTTTGAAACATTGAATCAAGGTCCAAACATGACAACACAAATAGATTTCTTTCAAAAGGAAATAGAAGACAAAGTATTTACAGCCTCAGATTTTATAAATTCAGTTGCTCTTGTTTCTGTCGCTATTAATGACTACAATTGTTATACTACCAAAAATGGCTCTATTGAGGTACGTGTTTTTTGTTTACTTGTTATTTTGAAATTAAAATTTTAATTATCTTAAACTTATTATCAATTGCAAGTTGCAACGTGGAATGCACAAAAACGCATGTTAGAGTCACCAACATATACTTTGTTATGTTTAAGGAATTTTGAGCTTTAATTGTTTATTCATTTCTAATTTGTCTATTTATTATACACATGCAGGGTTTACCATCATTCATATCTTCAGTTGTTAATCAAACAATCAAAAACGTAATTCGCATCAAAGAATTAGGAGTCAAAAAAGTGATTATATCAAATCTACTACCACTTGGATGTCTACCTTATGAAACAACTTTATCTTCATTCAAACAATGCAATGAAACAACCAACAACCTCATCGTAACTTACCATAACACCCTCTTAACCGAAGCTGTGAAAAAATTGAACCAACAAATCGAGGATCATTCTTCATCACTCTTTATAGTTCTTGATATATACGATAGTTTCATGTGGGTGTTGAAGCATCCTTCCACATACAACATTAATAATGAGTTGGAACCTTGTTGTATTGGAGTGAGTAGTAAGTATTTTTGTGGAATGCTTATGGAGAAGGTTAAGATGTATAAGGTTTGTGAGAATCCTGAATCTGCTTTGTTTTGGGATATGGGTCATCCTACTGATGCAGGGTGGCATGCCGTTTATACCAGGCTAAGAATAATGAATGCTCTTGAAAATATTTACGATCATTAGTTACACAAATGTCCATACAGTATTCTTGTGCCCTTCGGTCCATTATTTTAATGTACACACACGTAAAAAATATAAGCTCTTTTTGCTTAATTTATTGTTAATCTAAATTATTTGTATGATAAAGCCTTTGTATTCAAACTTATCAATAAGACATCTATAATAATAATTAAATTCCAAGCTCTACATAAACATGATTTCACATATTTCTGCTTGTCCGCACTTTTTATTCTAAGAGTTGAATCTCTCTCTATCTCTCTCTCAATAAACAATATTCTCTCGTATGCAAAATTCTTAAAGGAATTCCTGACAAATAAGAGGAAGATCGGCAATGATGGTACTGTAGTACTCACTGAGGAGTGCAACCCCATTATCCAAAATAAGATCCCGAGAGTTTCTCAATCCCCTGCATTAAGTAGAGACTTATCAAGATATATTGGATGCAAGTCCAATTGATCAAAACAAGTGTTTTGCCCTTCTTCCTACTCTAATGCAAGAGCAAGAGCAGCCAAAAGTAAAACTCAAGTTACTCCCTGACCTTAGGTATGAACTTCTATAGTCTAGTCGGTCAGTCAATACAAACTTTGAATTAGGAAAAGACAAAATCGAGCAATTACTTGTTATGTTAAAGAAGTAACCAAAAGTTATATGTTACACCATATATGACCTTAAAGGTATCATCTCTTTAGTGTTCATGCATAAACTTATGCTCTAAGATGATTACAAAACCTATAGAGAACATCAAAGAAGTTTGAACCCTGAGATGAGAGAGGTAGTGAAAAAGGAAGTTCTAAAGCTTCTAGATGCTAGCATAATATATCATATCTCTTACAGCAAGTGGGTGAGTCCAGTATAAGTAGTACCAAATAAAGGAGGAATTAATATAGTACAAAATGAGAAAGGCGAACCAATTGTTACTAGAAATGAAAACGCACGATGGAATTAAGAGTTTGGAGTTATGGTCAGAATGTGTAACAATGGAGGTTGGAAATGAAAATTATGACTTCAGAGTATTTAAGGGTGTTTCAAGGCTTGTAAACTCATTTGTTAGGTTGAAAATTACTTGTCTATTTATAGAGAAAATGTTTGATGGAAGGAGAACATCAGATTCAAGAGATCACAAGTTATGGTTTTGAAACTTGTTTTTGAAGCAAACTTGAAATGCATAGTGTGATCGGTGGATCTGGAACTGACTGTTTAATGCTGGTTCGCGAAATGTCGCGGAAGCAAGAGTCGCCACCGTCTTTTATTTTCTCCAAATGGAAAGGACAAAAGCACAGAAAAATTCCTTAAAGAGATTGCTCTCGGTTCGGGAGGTAGATTATAGAAAGGGAAGGTGTTAGCACCCTTTCTATCCATGGTTATCCATGGGCTCTTAGATACTTGCTCACTTGTGTTTTCAAAAATGGTTTGTTTGCTTTTCAACTGTGGGTTTTAAAAAGTTTCTTTGAAAATTTCAGTTCGACTCTTGTGTCAGAGTGTTTGAAAAATTGCTTTGAAAGCTTTTTTGAAAATGTGTTGGTGTGAAAAGTATTTTTTTTATTTATTTTGAAATTAGAGCAAGTATCTAGAGTCGTCTACCTACCCTAAGGAATTCGTCTGTGTAGATGTCCTTTAAAGTAGTGTCATCCCACCATTGAGAGGTAAGTAGCACCACCGTTGGAGGTGTTCGGGTCAATTCGAGGTTCGGGACATGGTGATCACCAGAGCAATGGGAAGACACCTTAGAAGCTACCCTCATGCCAGGTTCCCGGATCATGAGGACTTACTAAGACATCCTCTACTCGACGATCACCTTTCGAGGAAAGGCAACAGTGAGGCGTACCCTAGGGGTGGTGTGTGAGATTCGTGTGTCGTTTTCAGATATTTGTCTTGTCATGTTAAAGTGTTCTACGCTTGTTTTTATTATGGCCATTCATTCTTGCATGCTTTGTTTTAACAGTTAATTTTTGCGGGAAAAATAAATCTAAAGCTATTACAAATGGCGCGGGTCCACATCGCCGAAATTAAACCGGACCCGATTTGACAGAAAAGTAAATAATTAAAAGAATTAAAAGTGCGAGAAGTAATTTACAAGGCTTTGGGAGAGATACATAATTATTTAAAAGAAACGAGATAAAATAAATATGCGAAATAAAAGAATTATCAATATGGGCGTTGGACCCTTTTGCAAAAATTAAAGTTAATGAGGAATTAAAATTAAAATTTAAAAGAAAATGTTTTTTGGTATTTTTATGTTTTTTAAGATTTAATAGAAAAAGAATTAATTAAAACTAAAATAAAAGGCAAACCCTAATTCTAGTTATTTTTTATTATTTATCAAGAAATATTGAAATTTGACCGAATTTAAATCTAAGTTATTTTCATGCATAATTTAATTATAGAAATAAATAAATAAATAATATTATGGTAAAAAGAAAAATTAAAAGGAAATAAAAATTATCAATTAAACCTAGTTCTACATTTTTAGATTTTATTATGAAAAGAATTAAAATTGTAACCTAATTTAAAACTAATTAATTACATGCTAATTTATTTACAAGAAAATATCAAAATAAATAATCATTATATTTTTTATCTTTTTCTGAGTTTTTTATGATGTTTTTGTATTTTGTAAAAAAAATAATTAATTAAATTAAAACAATAAAGAAAATAAAATAACAATAAAAAAATAAAATATGAAGAAAATTGCAAACCAGGGGGGGTTCAGGCCCCAATACGGAGGTGTAGGCCTTAGCAATCTGGCCCAACAAGCTTCAGATCCATTGACTTTTGCCACTAGCGTGTTAACACTTTGACCAAGCTTATGATATACATCCAATCTCAGCCTTTGATTTGAATTTGTTAGACACGTGGATGGCTTGATAGTGAAGGAACATGATGCGCCTGCAGCCTTGAAGCACATGGGAATTGCTATGGAAAAATATTATGGAAATTACACAGACCTGGGACTCGAACCCAGGTCACTAGCATCACCAACCAACGCCTGTGCCACTAAGCCATGTCAACGCATTTGATATATAAATAACGAATAAATAATATAAAAGGAAACAAAAGAGTTAGTGGATAGCGCGCGAAATATTCAAACGCTCCAATCAACGCTTTCCACGTGATCGTCTTCTTCGTGGCCTTTTTTATTTTTCTGAAACAAGACCATAACGCAACGGTTTTCCACGCGTGGGTTTAGAGGGCTTTAAAGAAAATAGCGATTAGGCTATCCTTGAACATAAATTAGGCGCGAGGGCATGTTTATGATCGTCCAGGTCTGCTAATTACAATGGTGGTGGCCTTGAGTCCTAATTTTACTTCGTTTCAAAAGCCCCAAATTTACAACCCTGTAAACCCTAGAAATCGAGCATGGTACAATTGTATATACAGCATAATAATCAAATTAAACATCATGGTTAGCTTTAAAACATCACAATGAATATAAATCCACAATTAGAATGCCATGAGAATGCCTAGAATTAAAAATACGATCGTGACTTTTCCTCTGTACAGGGAAGGTTCTCATTACCAATTCTTGGGGTTTGAATGGATGTTAATGATTGGAATATGTTCAGGGAGACTTGAGGAAGCTATTGGAAAAGTTTTTGTGCCTTGAATCGCCCTCTAACAATGATTTCAGTGTTGAGTTTTTTAGAGAATTTTTCAAGTTTGTAGAGAGCTTTTCTGCGCAGCTTTTTGTCTATGGGCATTAGGGTTGTGTTCAAGCATTTGTAGTGAATCAATTAGGTTAAGAAAATTGATAAAAATCTCTTGCAATCATGGTTTTCAATATTTGATTTTTCACCATTATGTTTTCAATCTTTTCCATGTGCTCTTGTATCAATTATGCTCAAATCAAACCAAATCTTTCCCTATTGACCTATGCACGAAATCTTGATGGCAAAACATGCATGAAAAGATTTATTAGGTCAAGTTATATATTTTTCATATATTTAAATAATTTAAATGAATTAATATAAATAATAATTCAAATAAATAAATAAAAAATGAGAAAATACTTCCCTTTGGGCCAAGTGGTCGTGCACATGCTTAGAATGATGAATCATGGAAGAAAAATGGGCCCATTAGCATTTTTAGGTCATTTGGATCAAAGTTGACTTTTCAAAATATCCAAAAATTTCCCAACTTCCACAAGGCATAACTTGCTCAATAGTTAATCTTTTCTCATGTTCTTGGACATTTTGGAAAGGTCTTTGAGTCCTCTAACCAATGTCTTTGGTCCCATATCATTTTGATTTACCAATCTCAAATTATGGCCTTTGACTTAAAGTCCCTTTTTGTTGACTTTTGAAAATGACCTATAATGTTGAAATTGATAACTTTTTGTGAGAGCATTTCTTGGACTTGAAGTATGAATATGAGTTGTAAGAAATGTCTTTCTCTTCAAAATGAGCTTTGGATGGAATTTTTCTGATAATCCATGGGAAAGTTATGCCCTGGTCAATTTCAGTTGACTTTTTCAACTGTCCAAATAAGGAAACTTTTGCATCTTTATGATTTCTGAGCCAAATTTTGAGAATCATGATCAAGCATTGATCAAATGATGTTTGTGGCTTCAAAATGATATGTTGACCATAAATTTGAACTTTTGACTGTCAAATGACCATTTTGCCCCTACAGTTGACTGTAGGGCAATTAGGGTTTTGACTGTGCAATTTTGAGCTGAATGCCTTGAAACTTGATATGAGGATGCTTGACCCTATTTGTAGGCATATGAGACTTGATTGGGCCTTTGAAAACTTCATTTTCTTGATCAGACTCAAAACCCTAATCTTGACTGTATATGAGACTTTTGCACTGTGTAACCCTTGGGGAATTTTGTAGCTTGGCTTGGCAATTTTTTGGAGAATATGGGAGGGCAAATTTTGGGGTGCAACAGTTGCCCCTGTTCAATCTTCTTAGACCTGAGGATGCAGATTGGCTGGCGTGCCTTTCGTAATCCGAGGGTGGAAGATGATTGGACACTAGAGTGCCCAGAAATTTGCGCTCACATG